TTTTGAAATTACAAAATATTTAGAATGATAGAATTTTTATAGACTTTCATAGATTGATGAAACTTTAAAAAATGTGTTTAATTCCGAAATAAAAGATAAGAAAAGAAAACTCGAGAAACTGTTTTCCAACGAACTATGCATGCAATTTTCGTTTGTCCGGTTAAAGACAAGACATACTAAACGCAAGTGTAACTGAAAGATTTCCGGGATTTTTTAATTGGAAACTCGCCCGTGGCGAGAAGGAAAACTGGAAGAAAGATATATCCGGGTAGGTTGCATCGCGCCCCTTTTACAAGAACACTCTTTGCGACATTGTTTCTGACGGGGTGACTCTCAACCCCTTGTGCACCGGAGCGACCGTAATCCACACCGACGCGGGCCCCATTGCGAAATACATATTTACATACTCGAGGGGTGATTTAGATGCGCTAAAAAAGCCGCTGCGCCTCGCTTTAAAGCCGATGCAGAACGTTTCCGATGCGAACGACCGCAGAAGGAATCGACGCTTTCGAGAATTCGAAATCATTCCTCCGGATGTTGTTATCTGATCTGTGTCTGGAATTCCGCCTATTACGTTGCCGACGAATGCAAATTTTTCCATCATCGCGACGAAATTTTCTGTTACTTACTATCTTCTATCTTTATTTGTCCCCGTTAACTTTAATTACACTTTTCTCTTCCTGAAATTGAAGGTAATGGAATTTCAAGGAATTTCAATCGTTATCGTGAAATATTCCAATTGGAGTAAAATACGATATTATTCTGCGTTGCTTCTTTACTTGCAATCTTCTTTTTTCTCACTAACTTTAATGCCACTTTTCTCTTACTAAAATTGAAGATAATGGAATTTCAAAGAATTTCAATCCTCCGGAAAAATTTATCTACATATTCGAATTGGAGTAAAATACAATATTGCACTGTATCGTCTGTCTAATAAATTTTATTATTATACAGAAGATCTCTGTTTTTATAAAAGGTAATTTTTTCAAGTGTTCCATATGGCCCATATAATCCTGTAGATGTTCAATTTAAAAAAAAAAAAAAAAAAAAAAAACGAGCACGGAGAAGGTTCTGAGTGTTCCGTAATCGCTTTAGGACTCTCTAGAGCCACGAGGACTGCTACGACTCCCTTTCGAGCACCCTCGGCCGAGTGTAAATACGAATCCCACCTCGATTACTTCCACTAACGACTTTCGCTACCGAAAAGTAAATCCGAGATACAGCTTGGCAGGAAGCAGAAGGGAACGAGAGACTATTAGATCTGTCCGCGTCCTCTAGACAGATGGAACCAAGTTAAGCTCCCACTGAAACCAAGTTAAAGCCCTTCAACACCTCGAGCACCTTGACCGACGGAAATTACTCCAAGAATTCGATCTACTTGAATAACTTAAACAACCCTATTACCCGGTAAATATCAGATTCCCTCTGTTCAACGAGATTTTGTAAAACCAATTTTCCTCAATTTAAAAGACTTCTCTCTCCTTAGACCGGTAGAAATTAGTTTAAAATATCGAAGAATCCTGTTAACTCTGATCTTGGAGTATATTCGATAAATTACATCGATTTGCTTCTAACGTAGATAATGAACGGTAATTGACTTGGAATTTTTCAACTATTCTAATGATTCAATTACTTCGGCTATTCTAGCTTCGAGTACTTTAATGTTCCTATTACTTCAGATGTACGAAGTATTTTAGTTTCAATTAAATCAATTATTTGGAATATCTAATCGTGTCAATTATTCTGGTTTACAATTACTCCAACTTCTCGAATTGCACATATCGTGGTATCTCAATTGTTAGAAATATTCCGATTTCTCCAGTTCTTATTATTCTTAGATTTCAATTATTAGACTACGTTACTGTATCGATATTCCAAATATCATATATTGCTGCTTCAATTATCCCAAATATCGTACATCACTATTTTCATTATCCCAAATATCTTATATTACTATTTCAATTCTCCCAAATATTATATATTAACATTTCAATTATCCCAAATATCATGCATTACTATTTCAATTCTCCCAAATATCACATATTATTATTTCAATTGCCCCAAATATCACACATTACTATTTTCATTATCCCAGATATCATACATCACTATTTTAATTATCCCAGATATCATACATCTCTATTTCAATTATCCCAGATATGATATATTAATATTTCAATTATCCAAAATATCACACATTACTATTTTTATCATCCTGAATATCATACATTACAAATTTAATTATCCCAAATATTATATATTAAAATTTCAATTATCCCAAATATCATACGTTACTATTTCAATTATCTCAAATATCACACATTATTATTTCAATCATCCAGCGTTTCAATATTTCAACCGTTCCATAAATTCTTATTCTCAGAGCACCGATACACGCCAGACGACAGAGAATCACGAGGTAGAAACTAAAATCCAGCGGCATCCAGGCCCATGACGTGTACAGCGCGTCAGGGGTGGTCCCCTAAGCCGTGCCCTTCGACGCGTGTTCGCGTGTGCACTTTCGCAACGCTGCAACGGCAGGATGTCGCGGAAGGGGTTGCGCGGTTCTCTCGCACCGGTAACGCGATCAATAAGATAATTGAAGACTTTCTCGACAATGCCGGCGGAAGGGAGCAATTTCGCCATCTCCCTTATACTCTTGAGCAAGGTCATTGTTTTCGAGGGGATTCTCTCATCTCGCTTCTAAGCACCGTCCGCATCGACGGTTATAATTGTATCCTGCTGCTGGGCTTAAACGCCAAGCCGCGCCACGCCGCGCACTGGCCCCACCGCAAACGAATAAATTGAGGAGAAAGCCGACGACGAAACGACGACGACGACGACGGCTGACCGACCGCGCCACTCTGACTCATAAATAGCAAATTCAATCGATATCAACACACTGCCCGACGGATAGAGTACGGCGTACAGAGACAAAAAGGCGTCGTAATCGTTGATGAGTTTCTTTATATTCCGTTTCATTCTCTATTCAACGGAAAAGAACAGAAAAAGAAACACAGAACGGTTTCTCTTTCAGGTTTCGTAACTCGTTTCATCGCGATAGAATGTGGGGGGAGAAAAAAGTAGAATATAACGAAACTAGCAATATATATATATAGCTGAGTGAAGTTAACCTATAATTCGATATTGGTTCCATCTAGCATCCAGTACACCGACCAAACAATGTACCATTGTGTGTCCAATAAACACTGTATCGTATTTCGATATTGAACAGCGTTATAAACTCGTAACGGTGACAAATTGGTCGTTGTTAACAGACACCGAGGCGAGAAAAAAAAAGGATCACGAAACGGAGACTACACGGTCAGTTAATCAACCGTGAAAAGTGAACTGGTTGAAACAAGTAACAACGACTTGGCAACGAGACACCGGACCCCACAAAACAGATTGAAAAACCGTGAATGACGCACACAGGTTCGTGAACGGTGTATAGCCACGATGGTACGGTTCAAACGGTAATGGTAAAGAGTAATTAGAGCGACCGTAGGTATTCGAAGGACGAGCACGTGCGATCATGGTCACATGTCTTCCTCTTGTACGCGAGAATGCAGCGACACGGTGTTCGAGAGTTGAAACTCTTTCTCCTCGTATGGGCATAACGGTATCGAAGAATTTTAGAGACATTTATCAGAAGAAATTAAAAGCTGATAGGTCGACTCCGTTGGGAAAGCAAATTCATGGTAAATCCTCGGTGAAACGAGGAAGCAATTGCACGATAAATAAGGTAGGGTAATTTAGACGTGACATGGATTGATAAATTTCGTACATTGTTTCGTGGATCCTATGGTGGCTGTCGTTTCGACGCGAGACAGAATGTAAATAAACCCGGTGCCGGTAACATGAACTGTTAGCACAACAGATAATGCTCTCAGTTCATAACGAATGTAACAGTTAATGGACTCTTTCGCTCGAGCTGTTTAACAAGCATGTGAGCACGTAACGCAAAACACGTTGTATATGCGTAGTATGAACAGCGAGAAAGAGAGTGAGTGGTTAGACGTGCGTGAACGTGCGTACAAGGGGGTATAAGTGAAAAGTGACCGGGTCACGATACTCGATATATCGAGCGTAATTACGCGCTCGATCGATTTGAAAAACTGTTGACGTTCAACGCAGTCGACGCCGGTAAAGCGTCCGCGGGATGTGTATACGCTGTTTTTCTAAATGAATTACGCGTGATTCATATCCTCTCGTTACAGAAGACAACCGCATAGAGTTACTCTGATTCACTCGTGCATACATATGATTCAATTGGATAAAGAATATCGTGAACACGATATGCTAATAAGTTTCGTGCAATCGTATTCTGTTAGGATACGCGTGTTCGTAAAATAATACGATTCACCCCATACCTTACGTACATTTAGAAATTCACGATGGGTTGGTGTAAAAAACGAGTAAACTGACTGCAGGGCGGCGACACCCTGCGTAGTCCCCACGAGGGTGGGTTTCCACGAAAGCATGCTGATAAAACCGGCGATCGATAAGAAGCCACGGTATACGTAGTAATACGTGCAATATCAACCAGAAAAACCATAGTAACGACTGTCCCGTGACGCGATTACACAAAGATCGATCATCAAGGGAAAAAAAGGACTCACCTCTTGAAATTGCTCCAACAACTCCTGCCGGTCGTCGATTGCAGTGGCCATGTTGTTCGAATATATAATCCTTTCGTCTTTCCTTTCTCTGCAGTCCCTGCGTGACCCTTCTCACTCTTTCTCTTTTTCTTTCTCTCTCTTTCTTCTCTCCTCCCAGTCGCTGTCCGGTTTACGCAGTACGCACAATTAGACTGGAAAACGTGCAACACGAGTCGGCAATTTTCACCCGGTACACGCGGATAGTTACGAAAACGGTTACTTGGGGCGTTCTCGCACCTCGCGTACGCGATTCTGGTTACGACGCGGTAACGAAGCAGCCAGACACCGCGGGAACGTATCCCGCTATTACGGAGTCGCAACGAACACTGAGGCGCCGTATACCAAACGGAGCGCGCGCCAGCCCACCGAACGTCCACGGAAACAGCCGAATGAAAACGAAGGGACCACTGTCTTGACACCTTGGGACAGGTCCGTTCCGTTCCACGAAAATATCCGGACACAATCGAAATTACAATTCAAGCTTATCTGTTTGACACACAAATAACCCTTTATTACCTCTTCTTTCGGTCTTACACTGTATATTTTTTGCGGAAACAGACTAAACGACTTCAAAGAAAAAAACCTTATCGAATCGTTACATGTATTAACTCTACTTGCGGTGTTGTTCTTTGATGTTGTACTCCATTTTATATTGTTTAATGAACTGCTCTTCTTTATGATATGTTATATGACCAGGAATTGAATTCTTATACTTTGCGATAAATTTTCGTTCCATACTTCAAAAAATACGTTACGTCAGAAAGAACAAAAGCGCCTATTATTTGGAACTATTCCCTCCCGCCTTCAAAGCGTTACACTTTTTAGAACCTGAGGGCGGAAGTTGTCAAAGTGACGTTTCTTCGTTCGGACAGAAGACATTCCTCTCTACGAATGATTTCATTCGTCACACTTTCGTTCTTTCCACGAACAACGGAATCATAAAGTACTTTTCAATTCATCATAAGTTGTAAAATTGTATGAAACCAATGGCATAAATGAAAAAGATAATGCTCGCTGTACAAAAGGTTATGTTCCCTCCTTTTACTTCGAATCGCGTCTATGGTGAAATTGTTTTTGCGCACGTGACAGAAATACGAGTGCCTCGCACCATAAAAGTGTACAAGTTAGAGTGAAATATTACAGACTTCCGCGTACAGGAAATCGTACATATGATCATCCACGGAATAAAACCAGTCAGTTAAATCGTAGATATGTCGTTCTCGTCTAATTCAACAGTGGCATTCGTACATGAAGCTCAAGGCTGCGTGAAGTGTTAAAAGAGTAAATAAAAATACGAAGGAACAGGAGATATTTAACAACCATTATCTTTATTTTCATACCTTGTTTTCAGAAGCGACACTTTGTTTACCACGTTTACCGCTAACATTATCATCAGTGGATAACGTTAACGATATACTTCGCCAACATTTCGCATCGACGCAAATTGAAATATCAAAATGGAATGTTTGACTGGATAATCGTGACTCGACTGACCCTTGAACAACTATTTTCAACGAAATAAAGGTGAGTATCGAACTTCGCCTCTTCGAACGAAGTAAAACCTCGATTATAAAGTATAATGTAGTCATCGAAAGTATGGAAATGTCAAAGATGGAAGTACCGCATTTGAATCACGGGAAGACGCGACAAGTCTGATATTTCGCGAGCGTTAAACTTCATGAAAACGAACAACGAAATCCCCGCGGTGGTGAATCATTTTTTGCATACACAGCAATAGCTGTACGTACATCAGGAGCAAAAAATTCAGGTTGAGTCATTCGTTTAAACTGTGTGTTTGATGCGACGTCGAGTCTGTTTCCATGCCTGATTTGATATTGAAATGCGCGGCTGCATTAATGGACAAAACAATATGCGCAATTCCACCAAGCATTTATGCGTGTGATATTGAAATTAGTAACATTCGATATCGATTATTAATTATTCGTATTATTCGTCATGTTGTTAAGACAGTGAATGCTATTGTTATCGAAAGTATACGTAAAAAGGAAACAAAACAGTGTTTAAAAAACAAAAATTTTTTTATACAAAACCAACTTATACAAAAAAAGAAAAAATATAGTGCGGAAGACAAATTTTTCATATTTCACAGCGTAAAAATTCGCCGCTTCGAAGGAAGTTTGATATTCGGGCAAAAATCACGTTCGCATTTCTAATCTTCCTTCTAACGCCTGAAATATTACTTTTTGCCGAAAGCTCTATCCTACACAAACACGAATCTTCTTCTGACCCGGCTTGCTCAACTTCCCGTTGTACGTCATATAAACGAGAAATTCACATCTCCCCCAACTTTCATGTTCCGCCGCTCTTTATTGACATTCTATCTCTCCCACAGGTTACACGAATACGCTTCCACGGACATCGACCCCTTTTAAATAATGTTACATCACGGAAAATGAGCAACGATAGCCTTTTTGACAAGAAAATTTTCTCTTAAATGTCCGGATGCATTTAGTCGGTCTGTCCTTTTTTTTTTTATCAACATGCACGTTTCATTTCATGAAAATGTGTGAAAATAAAATAGTAGTTCGAAGATTAATTTTTGGACGTTTCTCTGTTCTTTGATCTAATATATTATGTTTCTTTCTGTTTCAGCTATATAAGACAACGAGAAAAAGAAGCAGCTTATGGTATTGAATGTACATGTACACATATACATTTAATATATTTTATCGGAAATCAAAGTGATATAATCTTACAAATAAAAACTACGTTAACGCTACTTAGCCCTAAATTACATTTACTGTCTCATAAATATTTCTGTCTAAAATGATTTGTGTATAAAGGAAATAAACAATGTATCTGTGTTACACAGTTAAAATGGTTATTTACGCAAGTGACGACGACAAAGGATCGTATTTGTGGGAAGTTTTCCTCGTGAACAAATGAACTTTCAGGACATTCGAGAAAAAAACACAAAGAGACGAGAACGTATAAATACGAAATATACGACAATGCTTCTCTGTAAAACTATACAAAATTTTTGGTGGAATCGAAGAGTTTTCCTTTTCTTTTCTTTTTTTTTTCGTTGCGAGGTGAAGTTCGGAATAACTTAAGACACGTTTGACACGAATGTTTCTATACTGATTTTTCTGCATGATACACAGAATAGGAATAAACAAAGAAACAACTGAGCTTAATATATATATTAAGAGGGTTACTTTGTAATAATGCATTGAAAGAAGTTAAGTAACAATTTTTGATTAAATCATTTCAATGAAAGTGAACGATCCAATTGTTAAGTAAGTAATGATCATGTGTAAATTGAACAGAATTAAGCCAACATCTCAGAATCACAAAAGACAAACTAAGTATTAATTGACATGAAAATAAAACGGCTATCATGAGTAAGCAAATTGCAACAATATCACAAAACGGAAATTTCAAATGAAACTGGAATTCATTTGATATTCCCCCCCTTTTAAAAGAATTTATCTACCGATTAAATGAGAAAACGAATTATATATTAAAATAAATATTAGCTGAGCTTCGAAATTAAATCTTCTTACATATAAAACTAATCACCCCTAATTACAGCATTAATTTTATAAAAATGATTTGGTTGAAGCATAATACTCTTTCCTTTTAATAATATATACCACTCGTTTGGATTCGGTGAATTTTAATCCGTCATTAAGTGCAAGTTACGTAAACATTTCTCGTTGCAAGAAAGAAGAGAATCAGTACTAGACAGTTTGTGCTCAAGAATATTAACAAAGATGAATTTCTTTTGTTAAGATGATTTGTATTATTTCTTGGAAACGCCTAGGCACTTGCCTCATATTATGCTGAACGAGTGATCAGTATTCAACATAGTATACTAGTATTTCATGGTAAAGTACAATGCTCGAATATGTCCATTTTGCAACAGCTGTAAGCGATCACGTAGTTTCAATCTTTTTTTCTTCTTTTTTTTTTCATGTCATTAGTCACAATGTATTTTTAATGATAGTGTACCACTTCATGAAGCACACAAATTTATTGTTCGTTTCTTTCTTTTTTCCTCTTTTTTTTTATATTTATATCTCTTAATAGAAAATGATTCTAAGTACCTTGTATAAAATACATATATAACCAATATACGTACATGTGTGTGTGTATATATGTATATATATATATATAATTTTTATTACGAAAGGAAACAAATGAAATTCGTACCTCACCCTAACCGAATCGCGAAAACACACTATCGTTAGAAATTCACTGTGTTCCCGCGTATCCAGGAGCAATAATCGAAGAGATTATTGAGCCTTTTTGTATCTGTACAAAAATATATGTGTGTACACATAATGTCTCATCGATTCTTTGACCTACAGTCTGTTTTAAACGAAACACGTGACATATACTTAATCGTGGATGATGCATAATACTTCGGTATGTTTTTATCACTACGATTATTATAAAATGAATTCTGTCAACAGAGTGATCGAACAATCCGTCTTTCCTTTCTTTTTTTTTTTTTAATGGAACATGAACATTTATTAACAGAATTCATTCTGTTATGCCAGCATCACCGATTTTCATCGTATGTCCGGATATTGTAAATGTTTAAAACACACTGTGCGTCGCGTCGTTCCACACATAACATACATTCATATAGTTTTAGATCATAATGGAAACTCAATGATTGATATTTGTTTTCTTCAACAATTAATTATACAAAATTTCATGCGCTTCTAGCACACCTTCGCCAATCGACGACCTACACGATAAAAAGTTTCATTTTTTACACAATGCAGTTTTACTTTGCATATCGTGCAAAAAAAACCACATTAATAGATAGAGACACGCACATAACACGTTTACATGGGAGTAAAACGAATAACTTTCTTCCTTTAAAAAAAAAAAAAAAAAAAACCTGAATAATCACATTCAAAAGTAACTAAAGAACGTCGTTATCAACTAATACACTAAGCATGGTTTTGTACCAGAGTCAACATTAAATACACAAATTACATGCCATAATCTATATTTTACATCAGTGTTTCACAGATGAACACCAACCCCTTTTTTCAGTTTTGTTTACCAAGAATGAGATCCATATTTATAATGCTTACAACATTTATAAAATGATTTATTACGGAATATATCTTATCAGTTAGTGTAAGTATCATCTTTATAATATTTAGCGATTTTTATAATACTTTAATGTACAAAGTAATAAGTAAGCTTTAATTATACTACATCAATGCATTACACATCATTCGAATGTTAACAATGTTCAGTGAAGTTTAACGCATTAGACAGTTAACGGCTTTAAAAATTGAAAACGAACGAACGAACGTTGAATTTATAAAATGAAAAGATAGATATATATGAAGAAATATGCAATATCATAGAGCGACCTGCCAAATATTACAAAATGTAATAGTCATGAGAGAAATTAAAATGAATACTTCTATCTGCTGAACGGTTCAAATAATAAAATTAATGATTTATAATACTACTAATAGAATTTACGTTATAAAATCTAAGTTTTGTAGGCCATTCAAATATTCTTCACTGAAATCAATAATACCATAATACAAAACGATTTTCAAAATGTTTGTGATAAGCAACATGAGATGAAATGAAAATTAAATGATTCGCAGCTCGTATAAATTATATAAGTTGTACACTCTGGTCCAAAATCCAATGAATTATTTTAGAAAGGCAGATTTAGGTATGCTATGTATCTGCGTGTCAATTCTTTGTTTTATACAAACTGTAACTTACTTCTATATTTCAATCTAATCTTCTTACATATATATGTATAATATCTATATCTTAATACACACATATCTCAGTCTATCTGTACATACTATTTTAGCGCAAAGGAAATCGATTTCACCTTTTGCGCCATTACAATTAAAAGCCGATAAAAAAACCGACGAAATCTTCTTTGTATTAGAAGTATTCTGAGATGACTCTTCTTTGTCACATATATTATCGCCGTCGTTAATTTTTCTTTCGTGTTATATTATGCCCAAATCGTTAGGTCAAATTATATTTCCCGCCTTCGACTTTTTTTTACATCTTTTCACATTTCACTTATGAAAAGAGCATTACATTCACACTATGAATCGCATTATAAATAGTGCTAACGTATATCATTAGTTAGTTAACAGTCGTTGGTCTCACAAAACCAGTATTTTCTTTCCCATCAATATTCGCAGCGAGAGATATGAAATAACAGTTACAATGAGATGCAAAATATACTATTTTTTTAAATTCCATCTGAAACACCAAGTATATCACGGTTCATCCGTGATACCTGTTCTCTAGAATATTTACTGATTTAGAAATTTCTTTAATCAGAACCTTGTAATTAATTGGAAATTAAAATGTTATTCTGAATAGAAACAAGCTGGTTTTGATGTTATAAATTAACATTAAATATCAATGCGTGAAATTAATTTTCCATAAATATGAACGAACGTATTGTATTGGGGCAACAAATCCTCCTCTTAATAAACATTTGTTTTATCTTAAAAAAATAAAATACATTGCAATATATAATACATACAAAAAATTGATTGCTCTGTATAGCGTATCAAATCAAAATATAAGTTCATAGTCGTCAAGATTATAATTTGATCGCATTATAATACTTTATCTCCAATATCCACTCGCAACTCTACTCAAACGGCACATGGTGACCTGCAGTACCAACTGACTGAATAATGATTGTAGGTAACGTTAATTGTCGGACTGTAAGCTTCACAGTCGAAATTATTTGAAATTGATAAACATCCTAGCCTTGTACAGAGCTAACACGATAAAGCCGGCTAGTAAGTCCTGACGAAGGATGTCGTTTCTTGAATGTCTGCTTCACTGTCTGTGCCCTGGTAACCCTGAGATTGAGAAAGGGAAAGAAGTGCATCCAGGCCTAATGATTCAGCTAATGGATCTGGCGCTCTTGACTACAGTATAGACAACACAAAAAAATGTTGCACTAAAACTATAATGTAATGCACTACTTAGCAACTAAAAAGTAAGAACTTAAAGTATTGAACAACTGAAATAGAGAATTAGAAAATAGTTAAGTTGTATATAATTAAAATGCTAAACGAAGAAAAATAATAACATAATAATTTATCAAGCTGCTAAAAATATTTACTATAAATATAATAAGTATGTGCAAAATTATCTAATGTAAAGTTAACAGCGGGGACCTGGACATTTTAATCTAACTTACCGTTGAATTCTGTTCTGCATCTTTACAATTACTGCATATGTAATCGTCTTCCTCCGCAATTTCTGTACGATCTAATCCAACACAGTGCATATGAAACCAACCTTCACAGCCGCCATCACATTGTACCCAGTCAACTTCCCTACCTAAAATAACAAAACCAAAAGAGAAACCTGTATTACATCATGACAATAGTGGTATTAAATTATTTCTTCGAGAAGAAATATTCTTACCACTAGGTCGTAAGCAATTAACAGCTGCGCAATCATCTTCTTCGTCCGAAGTATCTTGTTTGGTCTTTTTCCTGTTACCACCTCTTTTCTTTGGACCATCTTCACCTTCTTTGCGTTTTATCTAGAATTTACATTTAACTGAAATCGAGCTGATTGGTGTTCAAAACACTGTTTATTTCAATTATTTTAAGTTCAAAACTGTCTCGAATTCAAACTTCATTAATAAATGCAACTTTGTTACTAACAAAACTGTAATTGCAAATTTCATGTAAGTATTATGCAACTTTGTAAGTTTTAATTCGAGGCAAATAACATTACTAAATTTAATTACCTTTCGAGGTCCACGCTTTATTGGCAATGGGGAACTAGCCGATTTCTTTTCTTTCTGCAGCACTTTTCGTTTAGCTAAGTTTTTTTCTTCCATTTTTTGCCTTCCAAGTTTTTTCAATAACTCGAATTCTTCGGATTTCCTTTTTCTTCCACGCTTTTTTACATCCTTTGTATCTTGATTTATACCAGACTGAATTTCTTCATATGATGCGTACTTCCGAACGGTACTTGGACTATTTGTATGACTTAATATACGCCAAATGTGTTGGGTTTCATCTAATGCAACTTCTAATAAATCACCTTCCATCATTAATTCTTCTAAACGTAACCTCGCTGTCTGTGAAAGTACAACGGCAACTTCGGCCGAATCATTTGATTGCGATTTTCGTTGAATTTTTGATACTGAAAAACAAAATTTGAACATCATGAATTTATACTTTTAACATCTATTTTTTTTTATGAAGAAAAATCTTACTATAAGAATATGCGTGTTCATTGCTGTTGAACGTACTGCAGCTTGGCTCGTCATCATCTATAGTAACAACATCGTCATCATCATCCTAAAATATATTGCATATATGTATTCAACCTTTATAATATAGGATATATTTTATACGTAATTTCACATTCTACATTTATACAAATTTGAATACACTTACTGCAGTACTAAGCGCGCTGTCATCTGAATGCACACCACTAAGAGGTGCAATTGCTTGTACTCTCTGATGTAATTCAGGATTATTGGCTGCTTTTTTCAGTTCACTGCTGATAATTTTCTCTGTCTTTTCCCTTGCTGCCGCTTCAACCAGTTTTTGCGAAAGTACAGATAATTTTGCCAATGCCGACGAAATTTCATCCGTAGCTAGTGCCTGCCGTGCTCGATCCTATTCGATGTACGTATACTATGTATATTATGTATATCGTTACATTTTATATAGAATTTGTTATCATTCATTTTCATGTAAAACTAACCTGCCAATTCATTGCACGTTCCGTTAAACACTGCAATGCTTCACCCTCTGGTAAACGGATTGGAATTTTTTGAAGACTAACTAAAAGTGCCAAAATAGTTTCTAACCGTGGCCGCCGTGAACGTAAACAACAAGGGCATAAAAATTTAATTTCCCTTGACATTGGTAATTTTCCTTTGTACGATGTTTTTGGCAAGGGTACGCAATTTGCTAAAATTATAATTAATTTCGCTTAAATACTGATAAATTTAATTAATAACTGCATACATTAAAATTATAAAATGTTATTTACAATGGAACCAATCTTTACAAAGCTCACATTGAAGCATGAGCCCAAACCTTGGTCGACGACAGACACAATACCTCGAATCGTCTATTTCGGTTTTCATTAAATTTCTGTCCCTTAAATTTCTCATTGCTTCCATTTCACGTTGTTCGGCTAATTTAAATGCGGCTACAATAGTAGCCGAGTCATTGGAATCGTCCAATTTTGTATCACAGACGAATACAGGTCCTACGGAATCTTCACTCTTACTCTTTTTAGCTTTTAAAGCTTGTATACCAACTCCTATTCGTGGTGATAAAGCTTCCATTAAAGTATAATGTGAATTTTTCCTTAGGAATGTTCTTGCTGTCCTTTCTTTCCAGGTTTTTGCTTGTGATAGTGTAGATTCTAAGATTGGAAGGGCATCTAGATGCAGTGAAATATTTCTACCCCTTTTAATTAGGTCATCTAATGTATTGTAATATGGAAAATTATCTCTTGCTTGCATCTCTTCTACCATCTTTGTCCAATTTTTTGCTTTATTCAACGTGTCTTGAAGAACATCTAAACTTGGTAAATAAGCCTCTACACTGTCAGCTGCATGAATAAATTCTTCAAGACTTGAAATAGTTTGTCTATTTTTTGTATGAAGATACAGCTTTGCCTTTTCTTCCCACTTATCAATTGCAAGCATTAATACTTGTAGTTTTGAAAGAGTATGTTCTATACTCAAGTGAGGAGGTATTGTCATACCTTTTTCAATCAATTTTAATAAGTCATCACGGTGTATAGATTTTGGATCTTCTTGAATAGACTTTACTTCCTCAAGCCATTGTATTTGTGCTAATTTCTATAATAAATACATACTTAATCATATTAAGGAACAAGAACACATTTCTATTAAAAGTATACACATTACATTTATGTGCACTTACTTGTTTCAAACGTGTAAGTTGAGGTAGTTCAATACAAATAGAATCCCCAAAATCAATACACTTTTCCAATTGTTCAATATCACAATCATCTTCTTTAGATTCTAATTCTTCTGCTTCTTTTTGAAATTGCAACACTTGATCAAGTATGAATTTTACTCCATCAGATTCCTTAAGTTCACAGCATAGGTTTGTTATTTCTTTGTAGAAAAGAGTTAATTCTTCTACTGTAAGCTTGTATTTAGTTTCAACAGATTGCCTGGTTCTACGTAAAAAGTTTCAAATAGTTTTATTTGCTTAGTATAAGTAGTAGTGTTGATATAGACCTAAATTAAAAGACAGCCATACCTGGTACGTTGTTTGTTATTCAAAAGTTGCTGTGCAACACTTGCACATTTTTCAGCATCCTGCACAGCAGTTGTTAAAGCTGTAAGCAATTCACTTTCTGGAAATTTTTTATTTTCTGCTTCATTTAAAAGTTCTTTCAATTCACTTAATTCAATTTTATCATTCTTTTTGTCAGGATCCATTGCTTCCTTTACTTTTGTCACCCATGAGTCAAATGACTCTGCTTTTAATTTTAATTTTTGTAACATAATTGGTAATTCGTCTAAAGTATAGCGATAACGTAATGTATGCTTTTCTGGAGGACAATCACAAAGCTCTGTGAAATGTCTTAAACAAACTAACTGAGAACTTTGGCATGAACATGTAACTGCACTCAAAAAACAAGTTGTCTTGCACGCTTCACACTGTCTCTCATCATCTGGCAAAAGTTCAAATGCTTCTCGTTCTGCTTCTGTTACACCCTGAAAATTGTAGTTTTTAACAGAAAAGTCAATTATTAATTAATTTATCACTCTTACATTTCAAAAGAAATATTGCAATGCAGAATAAAATTATCAATGAAACACATGTATCCATCTGTGGACAAATAAACTACAAAATAATAAAAGATTTCATAAATATATGATTTGTTTAAAATTGTCATTAACACTTTTCACTAAAATCAAAAGAAAAAGTACGAAAATCTCTGAATCAACAGAGAAATTATGCCTGTTTAGCATCATGGCAAAGCTTTAAAAACATAACCTCTATTCACCAATAAAAGTTATATAACCATGATCAGAGACACACCAAATACGTATAAACGAGTCAAGGCTGATAACTAAGAAACGATGGCACAAAAACTATTTTAACGACACGAATGCAGGCTAACCAAAAATAACGAAATATATGAAGGCATTAATGAAGATTGTAACGTGGACGGTGGAACTCTACGATGTCCAATGGTTGGTAATATCAGCCGCACACACGTCTTTCACCGCGTGTGCCCGCATGGTTACGATTGTGTATGTGCCGACGTGTACGTGTAATGTTATATGTGAGGGAATGTCTCAGCATGTACTATACTGTTTGACCTAAATATATTAGGCTTTGCATTTAGAATTATAATCTATTTTGTGTGAGAAAGCGGTTTTGGAGGCAATTTTAAACATTTTAGGTATTTATGCATTCTGAACAAATCCAAATAATGTTATACGTTTTACTTAAACAAAGAATTAAATTTTTATGCTAAATCAAACATATTATTTCAAATAAATATTTACATGTGTATCAAATTTAAAAAGCATTCAATCATATCAAATAAAAGATAAATATCACTTACCCATTCCAACAAATTCTTTCGTAGTTTTTTCTCATCATCCACCATTTGAAGCATATCGTGATAAGTTGCAGTTGCAATTCCTATGTCCAATGAATCTGGATCCAATGACATTTTACATACTAATTCATCATGAGAAAATACACAAAATCGTCTTAAATTCGAATAATGAGTTATACATTCTCGTCCAACTTTAAGCTATTAAACATAGTATAAAATCTATGAAATATATATATATATTAAATATAAAAATATCTTAATGGTAAGAACTTGAAATATACCCAATCAGCAGGAGCAAAATTTACAGCTTCAGCAAAATTGTATCCTTGATTAAAGCCTGCATGATATGCTCTTGGAAATGTTACGACAAATTCACCCGCGTGTTGATCAGTTCTGAATACTGTAACACCTATGAATCAAATACAAATGATGTCAACGATAGTCCGTAAAATATTTTTTGATTAATAAAACGACTATTAAAAATAATGTTATGTTACCTTCATTTGTTAAAATATTAGGATTCATAATAGTAACCAACTGATGAAGTAAATCTGGTTGACTATGAAATAATTCTGGTGCAGCAGATTTCATTGAATGTTCAAATCGTTCTGCCTGAGAGCCTGGTACACCATACCATGTTTTTGGCTCTCCCCAGTGTAAATAATTAATTGAGTAGCTCCAATGATCCTCATTGTGCCAGCAAAATGTTGCAAAACACATACCAACATACATCCATGGAACTTTCATACCACTAATATCAGCATTAATATGACCTAGGACACTTCCACGTAAAACTGGCAAGTTATTTAAATTCCAGGAAGATTCAGCATACTCTTGATCACAGGTAAACAAATTAACACTTGTTTTTGTTGGAAATCCGGATCCATGATCCATAGTATGTAAATCTGCTCCATATTCAACTGTTACATCTTCATCAATGGAAGAAACTATCCGCCAAAATTCTTTTTCTACTAAAGATGTTGGTACCATCTATACAAAATAAATTTATGTCAATTTCATTACATTACAAGATATCACAGAATTACATACATGTACAGGCATGTTAAAGTAATCGCTTTTAAACTGGTCAGCCATTTCTCCAAATTGTTGAAGGGTATATTCCCTTTGTGCTTGTTCAAATCCAAATGCTTCCATTGGTTTAGAAACTTCTTCTGCAACACATTTTGGACACCTCCAATCACCTTTTGGTATTTCTGTCAACGGAGGCATTAAGCAAAAAGTATGATAACTATCATCACATCCATCACATAAAAGCATATTTTCTTCATTATCACCTCTTCCACAATTGTGGCAAATATACTTTGCCAACTAGAAAAATGTACATGTAAATTAGAACAGAATATTTGTCACAAATAAAAATTACAGTATAACTAAACATAATGTACACTCACAGGGTCAAATTCATAAACAAGTTTTACACCTCTAGTTTTATTAGATTTTTTTGCTTCTTTGGTATTAAACCCAGCCATTTTTGGGCCAGGTCCATAAAATTGTAGTTTTTTAAGTTCTTTACTATTATCTTTATCATCATAATGTCTACTTCTAATTCCATCTTTACAATCACTATCAGAGTCACATTCATCCTTACAATCTTCTTGTTTAATAGAAGCTTCCTGCTTTTCTTCTTGGCAACTAAATCTTTTTGACCGACGTGAAAACTTTTCAGTTGGGGGTTTAATTTGTTGTCGTGATATAATTCCATGTGGTTTATAATCTCTATCTTTTTTCTCATTCACATTAGAATCTGGTTCAATTTTCTACATAATTTAACATACATTATATACATACATTGATTTTCAAAAAATTTTAAATGTATAAAATAAAACAACTTACTATATCTGTCAATGTTTTCCCTTGTTTAAATACGTCAAATGGATATAAAATGCGTTCATAGTGATTTTTTAGAATACTTCCTACACTGCGTCCAGAAGGATAACCTAATTTATTTGCAATTTTTGCCCATCTCCTTTCTTTTGTCACAGTCTCAATACCACCTGCAAATATTGTTAATGCACCAATATTTACAATATTGGAATTCTTAAAGTGAAATATTAATAATTAAGGAAAAACACCACAAACCCTCATCAGTGACTATTTTGTGTAAGGAATACAAATCAAGAGCCTTGCGTTCTACAAGTGGAATTTTTAAAGAAGAACCTTGAAGTTCCCAAAATTTTGCAATTTGATCCAAGAAATTAAGTTTTATTCTTGTTTTTGCTTCTAATTCATTCAATCTCTGTATCCTTGGAACAAATTTGAATTTATCAACATCAACAGCAAATGGTGGTTGCCAATTCTGAAAAAGGAAAATATATTTATAAAAATAATTTGTACATATTATTTACTTTTACTTGCAAAAAAGGATATCAAAATGGGATAATAAATTTGTAATATAAATTGAAATGATGTTATGTTACTATTACATGGAATATCTATTAGCAATAAATATTACCTGAAATTCAATGTTTATAAATAAGATAACAATAAAATAGATCAATTATAAACAAGATAATATGAAATAAAAACTACAAACACCCTTAATCAACCTATATATACTTTTATTTACAATGTAAATTTAGTTATAAAAATACAAACATAAAAAACTTATAAAACAATACGATATTTCGCGAATTATGCAACATTATTTACCACGACTTTTAACATAATTTGCATTTCGTAAATTCATGCGATAGTACTTACAGGTCTTCAGATGAGTTAATTAGTTTAATAAAATAAGGATTTATGTACAATATGTATAAAAATAAAAATATGATTGTGAATGTTTATGGATATCTGCTTAAGGTAAAGGAACAACAGGAGAATGGTTTTTATTTTGATTTTATTCTTTTCTAAATCATTAAAAACATATTGATGAATACTGTAACACATAAAAGTATATGTCTATCTAAATAATCGATAAGTGCTTTCGTAGCTTCATCTCTATCGTGACGCAACACCATTGTAAGATCAGTCCACTTTTTAAGAACATGTAATACGAAATACGAAACAGTCATCAAAATAAAAATGAGAAAATTTCTTTTGTCGTTAGCCGACATTTGAAGTTTTGATATCTAATTATATGGTCAGAATAAACAACAAAACACATCGTTAAGGTGGTTGTGTATCATTGCAACATAAAAACTCAAGTCGAAAATAAATAGCACGAAGATTTTCTCCATATACGACGCCCATTTAATGCCGTGACCATAGTTATTTCCGTAATGGCGTCATCCCGTTACAAAATATGAATTTTCTCAAAGAGTAACGATTTACAGATAAATAGATCAGTACAATCTATCTAGATTATCGAATAGATAAAAAAAACTCAGCTTGTCAACAAAAATGAGCAGTTACGGTTTCCAAGAAAATCGATTTCATAAAAGCTGAAAAAGTGGTTAGCAGGGAGGAAAACGTTAATGGTCGTCAAGATGATACATCCTATCACTGTGGAGTAAAAAAAAAAGGGTGTTATGAATCTAAACACTATTTATCCAAAAACGGTACAGTATTTTTACGTCTCATAATTGGACAATTTGAAATAACTTTATAGAATTTATAACATCTTTCCATTATCGGAGTAGCAATACATATTCGAATAATTTTGAAAAAATTTATTAGCTAAATTAAGAAATACCAGTTTATGATAATTCAGCTTTCATAAAAGTGTATTTTTGATACATAAGAAAAAGTTATAACTTAATTGAATTTCCCTTGTAAAAGTTCACGTGGTAAGATTTTATATGACTTACGACATGTTTTAGACACTGCATACAAATTTTTGCAAAGTAATTGCATAAATTTCTCAATGCTGATTTAATGTAAGCCTTGTCAAATTATTACTTATACGCATTTTCTTACGATGCGTTTTAAATGGTCGTTCATTAAAAACATCAACATCTTCAGCATTCGATTTGTTTTGAAGTTATTACTAGTTCTCCTTGACTATTACTTTATCTTTTGCATTCAAGGTGTAACCATAAAATTATATTGTAAAATCATTCTTTACACATGTGAAAACAAAATGGTGGCTCAAATCGATTCTAATGGTGATACAAATCAAACGAACAATTTACAAAATTCGAGCTAAAAAATTGAATATTTTGCAAGAACTAGAAATTTCCTTATATAGGCACCGGGAAATTTTTAATGGTTCTGTGTCTCGCTTTCTACCACGTAAAACATGGAACTGAAAAAATATCGTGCCAAATTCGTAAATAAATGGAACCACGCAGAAATTTTTGCGAAACGTGCCATATGACACTCGACAAAGTTGAGAATATTTATTCATATAAAAAGTTATGATGATATTCATATTTTTAGATGAAATAGAAACTTCCTAAGAACACATCAAACGATTCCTGTATCCCTAATATTGCGATGTCATAAATGTCTCAAGATCGTCGGCTACGAATGTTGATAATTATTTCGGCGCTTTCTCTATCGATGTCACGAGTATCGTTTAGAATTTCCGAAACATTTCAAGACATTTTGCTAAGGTGACATTGTTTCGATTGTCTCGGCCATTTTACATAGCGTACCTTCTAGCTATAACGATATTAATGTCGCAATGAGACGAGTACCAAACGTATTTCATTTCAGATTTTTTTATTTTCCAACAATCCTGTCACTCCCAATTGTAACGTCCTGGGTCAAAAGATATTGATGCATTTCGAACATCAACACATGTCCCAACAGTTGAAAACCATAAAATTAAAATCCTTCAACATAATACATCGTGGTCTTTTCTTCCCTTTTGATCGTATTATCTTTCGACTTATGTCGACAGAACACCATGCCTTTTACCAGACTGAAGTTTTAACGCGGGCACAAGAAAAAGGAGACACTGATATTTGCATAAAAGTACTCCATTCAGAGAAATTAATTTTGTCCATTGGTTTAATTTTTGTTCTAAAGTACATATTACGTAGGAACTCATTTATTTTATGATGTCACGGCTGTGATGTTCGTGCGGAAGCGTCACAGTACGTAAACGAGGTCGTGCATGCATATCTGCACGTTCGTCGATCACAAAAAGAAAAGAAATACAAAATTTGTCCATTCACACTGGTCTGATTTTAAACGAAGAATAAGGAAGATGCGTGTACAACAGCGTCCTTCTAAATGATAACGGAAAAGAAAGAGAAAGCAGAGAGAGAAAAAGATTGATGTAATCGTGATGGAAGGATTTACTCACAGGCGGCGGTTTGATCTTACAAATGCCAGACTTCTCAGCGATCGGTCGTATTTTTGCGATGTAGCCAAGGGGGTCGTGAAACTCCTCGATACTCGGTTCGAAGACCGGCGCCTCTGGCGGTATGATGAACTCGAAGTCCGAATTACCACGGTCACAAGCCATGTCTTGGGTGCAATGATAAGTCCCGAAAAAATCGTCACAACCGAAGTTCGTGTCGACCCTCGATACCATGACTTGAGTGCTCGACACAGCTTGGACGCGGATAGGTGGCCCACAACGCACCTAACGCGGGTGAGGACCTCGCGTCAGGTTTAGCACTGTTACTCAGTTCACCGGCTGCGAGAATTCATTTGGAAATATGCTTCGATAAACCATCTTTACGAACTGCATTTGTGTACCTCGTGAGAAGCAGATGACAATGTATGCGATAGGCACAAAACACACAGTACACAACATCCACGATATCACGCGGAGCCTCGCACACGAGCAACTGTCCTATTCCTTGCTTCGTATACCTCTTCTTCCCTTGTGCCTACTTCATTATAATGCAACAGTGGCGCCACCTTGTACCAAGGAAAAGATCGGCAGTTCTTCACGTACGCTTTTTTATAGAAAATTAATATCATAGATGTGAATGTAAAAAGATTATTATCTATACGAAAAATCTTTAAAAGCTTAAGGAAAAGGGAAGATTGATAATAGTATTATTAACAAAACATTATGCGTAAAACGTAAGCAACTACGAACTGAAATTTTAAATATAATAAATGACGAATAAAAATGAAAATTCCCTATGAAATTCTAGCTTTTACGATTATTATATAATCGAACTAGTTACTAATTCCTATGATTTATTAATAAAAATCATGAAAAAATCAAATATATTTTATATACTTAC